CAACGCCCCCCTCCCCTCCTATATTTCCCCCGCCCACAACCAGCCCCACCGCCTTCCCTTTCAGGCGAGAGGCATCACCAGGCTGGGGAGGCCACCCTCTCTATTGGGGGGGGGAAGGGATTTAGGGGCCCCCTTTTCCCCTCCAGGAGGGAGTCAGGGGGGCCTCGCCCGGGCCAAGCACTCACACAAGCCCCCTCCCCAACGCCATGACCCCCGGCCCTGACCGGCGCGGCTCAGACCTACCCGCCTGCCTCCCTCGGTCTCCGCTCTCCGGCTCCCCTTCGCGCAGCGCCAACGGGGCCAGGCCGGAAGTGTTTCCGGCCGGACCCTCCCGGCGACGGACCGGCCGAAACGGTCCGCCTCTCTCTGCTGCTCCCCCCGGAAACCGCCACCCAGACGCGGAAGGTTCCGGGGATGGGAGAAATAGAACCATAATATAGCGTGATAGAGTCGGAAGGGACCCCCGGGGGTCGTGTAGTCTAGGCACCCCCAAACTTGGCCCTTCAGCTGCTTTGGGACTACAATTCCCATCATCCCTGACCACTGGTCCTGTTAGCTAGGGATGATGGGAGTTGTAGTCCCAAAATATCTGGAGGGCCGAGATTGGGGGCATAGCTGTCAACATTTCCCTTTTTAAAAGGGAGATTCCCTTATTCCGAATAGGATTCCTCGCAAGAAAAGGGAAAAGTTGACAGCTATGTTTGGGGGTGCCTGATCTAGTCCAACCCCACCCCCGCCATATTTTGCCCAACGCGGGTCTCGAACCCACGACCCTTGAGATGAAGAGCCTCCTACGCTCTACGGACAGCAATCCACGCCCAGTCCCACTGGGAAAGCGACAGACCTTTCACGGCCATGTGCTTGGCAGGGGCTTGGGCCTGTTCTCCCTCCCTCTCCGCCGTGTTTTGCCTTGATAGCCCAGTCAGCAGAGCACAGGACTCTTAATCCGAGGGTTCGAGCCCAGAATTGGGCAAAAGGATTCCTCCTGTGCCCCTAGCGGTTTGGGCTAGATGACCCTCAGGGTCCCTTCCGACTCTATGATCTGTAGGCATACACATGTGCTCCTAAGCCACTTTGGGGTGCCTTAGGCAATATAAAAGGCGACTAACAAAGTCAATAAATAGTAATGATATTATTAATAATAAAGGGATGTTGTAGGTGCCGCAAACAAACCTTGCCAGCAGGCCCAAAGCTTAGTCTTAGCATTCAGCCCCCATCCCATTCTCTCATATTTTAGGGCTGAGTACACACATGCCTTTAAAGCACATCCCCCCCCACCTCAAAGAATTCTGAGCCTGTAGTTTTACCTCTGTGGTTGTGTGGTGAGACCCTTCTGGGCACCCTTTTCATTTATTTATTTATTAAATTTCTATACCGCCCTTCATTGGAGGATTTCGGGGATGCTGGCCATATTTTGCATTACAGAGTCCTACAGTAATATGCTGCTGTTTGCCTAGCTTTTCGAAACCGTAGCAGCACAGCAGTGCATAATTAAACATTCTCCTAAAACAAATATTGCATTGTGCCACTGTGGTTAAAAGCCGTGCGCTTGAGACTAACTGCATAATATTAAGATATCAGTGCGTGGTTGTTACAATACAGTACTGTAGTGATCTTTCATTGTGTAATGCTAACAATGCATAGCATTGTTCAGTTTCCACTTTGCAGTCATGTGGATGCAGTTTTTAAATCTAATGCTACCTCCACTGAATACCAGAGGCGTGGCGGGCTATACATTTTAAGTAAATTTGCCTAGGGACATCTGGTTAATTTCTGACGGAAGGAAAAATTGAGGAAGTGTCTTCTTAATTTGTAACTTACAGTACAGTGCAATGCTATACACATGTTCTCAGAATGGGTTTTAGCCTTGATTTCCCTTCTCTACCCTTTTCCTGTCCTCTTATATCTCTCTTGTCGTTTAAGTTTTCAAGCCTGAAGGCAAGGTCTCTTTGGCTGTGTACACACTCTACGCTTAAAGCACATTCGAAGGACACATTCCCCCTCAGAGAAATCTGGGCTCTGTAGTTTACCCCTTCCAAAGTTACCATGCCCAGTAGCCTTCCAGAAATTACAGTGCCCAGAATTCTTTGAGGGGCAAAATGTGCTTTCAAAGTATCGTGTGTGTGCAGCCTATGTCGCCCTGATGTGAGCCACTTTGGGAGACAGTAATGGTCTGAAAGGGACGCGGGTGGCGCTGTGGTCTAAACCACAGAGCCTAGGACTTGCTGCTCAGAAGGTCGGCGGTTCAAATCCACACGACAAGGTGAGCTCCCGTTGCTCAGTCCCTGCTCCTGCCAACCTAGCAGTTCGAAAGCATGTCAAAGTGCAAGTAGATAAATAGGTACCACTCTGGCGGGAAGGTAAACGGCATTTCCATGCACTGCTCTGGTTTGCCAGAAGCGGCTTAGTCATGCTGGACACATGACCCGGAAGCTGTGCACCGGCTTCCTTGGCCAATAAAGCGAGATGAGCACCACAACCCCAGAGTCGGTCACGACTGGACTTAATGGTCAGGGGTCCCTTTACCTTTACCTTTATCTCCCAAAAAGGTATGAGACAAAAGGCAAAGAGAAGCATAGAGGTACTAAAATGTAGGATTCCATTAACAGTCCCCCTGCGTTGCTACCTAGGCTCACCAACCCTCCTGCTGATTTACAGGATCTTCCCTATTCCTCTTACTTTGAAATGCACCATCTTCAACTCTACTTTGGTTGTGGTCCGTTCTGTGGTGGACCTACATTTTGGGGCCCCTGAAGCTGTTATGGGGGCCCCTTTGCAACCAGCAACAATGTTTGGTAACCACTGTTATCTTCTGGAGTTGTTCCACGGCAAGATCACCACACCTTTACAACACCTGTGCTGCTAACTCACAAACTTTGGGGTTGTTGAAAGATATACAACAAAAAATAAATCGGTTTGAGTCGTTCGTCTACTAGACCCAAAAAAACTTAAGCAATGTGGAGTGAAGTCGATTCTGGGATTAGGGACTTTAAAGATGAAGCTTCCGAAGTTTCATAGTAAATGTGCCCCTGGGTCTGTTTACACCACAGCCCCTATCTATGCAACTCTGCTCAGAAGCAAATCCCACCAAGTTCAATGGAACTTAATGCGCTGGTTTAGGTGCATAGAGATTAAATAACAGCCTTAGCAACTGTGGCAACCCTTCCAAGAGCTCGAGCTTGCTAAAAAAACCACAGCTTCTGCACGCTAAGGCAATTCTTAAAGGTAAAGGGACCCCTGACCATTAGGTCCAGTCGCGGACGACTCTGGAATTGCAGCTCTCATCTCGCTTTATGAGCCGAGGGAGCCGGCATACAGTCATGTGGCCAGCATGACTAAGCCGCTTCTGGCAAACCAGAGCAGCGCATGGAAACGCCATTTGCCTTCCCGCCGGAGCGAAACCTATTTATCTACTTGCACTGGTGTGCTTTCGAACTGCTAGGTTGGCAGGAGCAGGGACCGAGCAACAGGAGCTCACCCCGCCGCGGGGATTCGAACCACCGACCTTCCAATCAGCAAGTCCTAGGCTCTGTGGTTTAACCCACAGTGCCACCCGTGTCCCTAAGGCAATTCTTACGCACTTATTAATATAAAAAAGAGTTAGCCTTAAAGTGGATCGGCAGCTGCACTCCAGAGGAACAGAACATACTACCCAAGTTAAGGTAATAATAAAAATCTGGCTAAATAGCTCTATCGCATACCCTTGGTTAATGCGTGACAGAGATACAGATCTACTTAAATGTCTATGCTTCATAGCAGGTCAGTCTGTTTTGTACATCTTACCCTGTGCTGGTGTCTTCTCTGACTGCTAGCAGACCTTCAGGGCTTCAGGTAGAGAGAGAGGTCCTCCACTACCTGCTTAAAGGGATCATTTTTAATTGGTGGGGACATGGACTTGCGCCCAGGACCTTTCACATGCACCATGGGCTCCACCGGAGAGCCATGGCCCTTTGGCAAACCAGACTCAATTGATTCAGCAAAACAGCTCCACCAAACAGCTCCAGCTAATGTATGAAAATTATTACTGCATTCTGCCCTTTATTTGTAGATCTCAGGCAGTTCACAACCGTCCTGGAAAAAGGGAGATTTGGATCCTGCAGAGCCTGAATGCTTTTTCAATAGAATCCAGGCCTAACACTTAGGACATACTTGCAATGGGTGAATCGCCAATTATCTAACATACCCGACAACATTTCTCTGATGAAAATAGGGGTATCCAAATTCACCACCATCATCGTTATTCCCCTGCCCATCTGACCCATGCCCATCTTGCCCCAGTCACTCTGGGCAGCTTCCAACATACCGCATTTTTCGCTCTATAAGACGCACCAGACCACAAGAGGCACCTAGTTTTTGGAGGAGGAAAACAAGAAAAAAAATATTCTGAACCTCAGAAGCCAGAACAGCCAGAGGGATCGCTGCGCAGTGAAAGCAGCAATCCCTCTTGCTGTTCTGGCTTCTGGGATAGCTGCGCAGCCTGCATTCACTCCATAAGACGCACACACATTTCCCCTTACTTTTTAGGAGGGAAAAAGTGAGTCTTATAGAGCAAAAAATACAGTATATAAAAACAAAACATTTAAAAATTCCTGCTGCCTTCTAAAGCTGTAATTACTTATCTCCTTGGCTTGGGGGTTGCATAACTCCATACCCTTCCAACATTTCTCAGAAGAAAATTGGGCAATCCTAAGGAAAAGCGGGACATTCCGGGATCAGATCAGAAACCGGGATGGCTGCTGTAAATCCGGAACTGCCCTTGGGAAATGGGGGCACTTGGAGGGTCTGATTCAATCAGGGGGGTGGGCTCTTAATGAAATCCACGACTCTCCCAATTACTAGCCAATTTCTGGGCAGAGGTAATGGCGCTCTGTACATGTTCAGAGGCAACCCCCTTCTTAATAAGCCGCTCCAACACGGCTGAAATTGGAGGTCTCTAAAAACAAAAGTAGAAATTAAATTAAAAGAGAAGCAAAGTAAAAGAAGAGAGACTTGGGACTTACCCACTCGGCCAGGAGCTGCTGTCCTGTCTCCTCCTTGTCCTCTTCTTGCTCCTGGCCCTGCGTCTCGTCCCCGGAGCCGCAGCTCCCCGCAGGGGACGGGGCCCTGGTCTCTCGCCACCGGCTCTCCATGCCGGGCTCTGCCGTGTGCACGGGGGCCAGGGGGGTCATGGAGCACATGGGGCACAGGTCCCCCTCGGCCGCCCCGGAGAAGGGCGCCTCACACAGCAGGCACCGCTTGGACTTCTTGCTGTGCTTGAGCGGCTTGTCTGCCATGGCCGGAGGGTGGAGGGGGGGCCACGCTGCGGAAGAGCAAGCGGAGGGGAGCAGGGCAGAGGAAGAGGGAGGAGGGGCCAAGCATGCTGCGGCCTCCCACTTCCTGGCGCTGCACCCCCTTTGCAGACCACAAGGGGGTGACATTGCTCACTTGTGGAGGAAGACATTTCCTGCTACGCAGAAGGGAGCTGCAGAAGTAGCTGCTTCAGGGCCCTTGGCTACCTCCCCCCTGCTGGGCTGGAGGCCCATTGCACAGGTCCTAGGGAGCAGCTCTGCGTATACGAAGCAAAACCCTGAGAAATAGCCTTTTCTTTGTTTTTTTTAAAAGGGAAATGGTGACAAAAAGCGGGGTGGGTTGTTGTGCAAGGGGATTCCCTTGCACACATCCTAGGCTCAGTCCTTGGCCTCTTTCAATTGAAATAACGGAAGCTTGCAAGGCTGCGAATGACTCTGCAGAGTTGTAGCCTTGGTCTGACACCGTATAAGCATCTTTTAAAAATATTTTCAAGTACAATCCGGGCATTAAAGAACCAGGTGGAGTGCTCGACTCGAAAGTATGGCCCTGGGATACACGCCAACTGCTCCTATTTATCGGGGATTGCCCCGTGTTTAATACCTGGCCTGTTAAATTGTTCTTTCTGTTTGAACATGGGATTTTTTAAAGGTTTTTTTTGTGTGGTTTCAAAAGGCAAATTCTGTTGGCAGAAAATGGTCGTTCTTCAGGCTGCACCTCCCTCTGCACGGTCTCTAGGAGTTGAATCTCAGAAGGGGCAGCTGCATCTTGTGATCTCATGGGTATTAAATGCACATGCACAGACCGCCACTTCATACACAGCAGCAGCCAAGATAAATTCTGAACTGTTGATACCGTCGTCGTTTCTCTAGAATGCCTTTATCCAAAGATGACTTAACACACCCCTTGCCTTGTCAGTTAAGGTAAAGGTACCCCTGCCCGTACGGGCCAGTCGTGTCCGACTCTAGGGTTGTGCGCCCATCTCACTTAAGAGGCCGGGGGCCAGTGCTGTCCGGAGACACTTCCGGGTCACGTGGCCAGCGTGACGAAGCTGCTCTGGTGAGCCGGCACCAGCGCAGCACACGGAAACGCCGTTTACCTTCCCGCTAGAAAGCGGTACCTATTTATCTACTTGCACTTAGGGGTGCTTTCGAACTGCTAGGTGGGCAGGAGCTGGGACCGAAGACGGGAGCTCACCCCGCCGCGGGGATTCAAACCGCCGACCATACGATCGGCAAGCCCTAGGCGCTGAGGTTTTACCCACAGCACCACCCCGCGTCCCTTGTCAGTTACTGAGGACAAATGAACCCTGCAAATCGAGTAGTTTCAGCCCCACCCTGGGCAGATCTTTTGATATATTAGGGGTTTTTAAGTGCGTCTCACTTCCCATTTGTGCCATGTATCATGCTGCAGGGAGCTGAAATGGATGTCCTCTTACGCTGGCCTGCTCTTAAGGGTGCAGGATTCCTGCTAGCTGTCACATGGAGACATTCTCATCGCAAGAAACCTCTCTTTCCAATGAATAGATGTGTTCCTGGTCATGCTTTTCCGGCTAGCTTTATGCTGCCCCCTGCTGCTTTTATTGTCTTATTTTATTCTTAGTTGTATGTGCTTCTGCAAGCTGGGGAGGAGCTGTTGTGCAAAAGGCAGGGTAAAAATATGCAAAAGGAGACATATGATGTGGAGTCCTGGGAACAGAGAGACCCGGGTTTAAACACCATCTGCTATGAAGCACTGAGCTGGTGCCCTTGGAGCAATCACCAACTTTCGATCTAACTGACCTCTTAAGGTTTTTGTGAGGATAAGGTGGGGCAGCAGGAAGGACCACGTACGCCACATGAGCTCCTGACAGATCAATGCCTGTAAAGAGACGCGTGACCCTCTGGCATCCTTCCCCAACCTGGTGCCCCGCTGGTGGTTTCCTACTACAACTCCCATCAGCCTCAGTCAACATGGCAGTGCATGTTGGGAATTGTAGTCCAAAACTCCTGGAGGAAGCCTGACTGGGGAAGGCTGCCGTACTTGGCCGGTACAGAAGTTGGTGTGGTACGAAGGCTAAGTTTGGACGCTGGGCGTTCCCTGGTTCAAAGCTGACATTTAACCACCCACTAAGGCATGCTAGATCACCCACGTTACCTCTCAGTCCCCTTGATCCTGGACTACGTTACAGAAGAGTTGCCACCTGACCAGGGATAAGTGGTCTGCCCTGCTGCTATGCCTTTTTTGTCCTGCGTAGAGATCAGCACTTACAAACAGATGCCTGGAGACTGTGCTGCTGTCAGAAAGGTGTCAATAAAGTAGACAAGCCTACCTTACAGTGGTGTTGTGAGGCCTGCTAAGCATGCATACAAAGCCTTTGGGTGCATAAAAAGTATCATGTAGTTTCTAAGTTGGGCTGCAGAATTTACAATGCACTCCTACGAGTGTCTACTCAGATGTAAGTCTCACAGAGTTCAACATGGCTTACTCCGAGGAAGCTACTGTGGTTCTCATAGGATTTCAGTCTTAATTATATAACCTTCTGATTTAACGACAAAACGGGCCTCAACCAGGCAGCAGATTAAGGAGAAGTAGCACTGTTTTCAATCTAAAACCAAAGCTAATGAGGCCTTTTCTCTAACCAGAATGGTGTCTGCAGCACAGCTTGCTTCACAACTGTGTGTGTGTGTACTAATACATATTACACCCATCTGCAGATTCAATAAATTAATAGATTAAGATTTCATAATTCAAGTGACAGCCCCAATTCTAAATATTATTACGTGTACTTTGCAGAGAGATAGCATGACAAATGTCACAAATAGCCTTCTCCTTACAGGTAGGTAGCAGTGTTGGTCTGCCGTAGCCTTCTCCTACAAGTGTGCTGAGCCAAACAGTTAGGAAAACTACCAACAAAATCTGAGGAAGCCTGACCTAGAGAACATGGTGTTAAAATTTGTTCCTTGAGGAAGAAGCGAAGGTGTGGAATGAGAATATAAACAGAAGTTGTAAAAAGAGAAGGCTTTTCAGGACAAATTTAGGAGCAGAATTCCACGTTAATATTATGGAGTGCATTTATACAATTCTCAGTGAGATTTTAACATATTCATTCAAATAGACTGGGATGCAGCACGAGTTTAGCATTCGCAGCAGACTTAATGAATCTGCAACCAGAAATTTCAATTGTTTGTAATGGTTGTAACCAGATGGGTCTCATTAGGCAGCAATCACAGAAAAAATGTTGCAAGTAAATATAGGGTCGAAGTTGGCAGGAAATTCTCCAGTACAAATCTTATTGAAAGGAACAGAAGCTGTGTAAGAGAAGTATCTCATTTTTTTCAGTGGGGCTTGTGCAGAAAACTCTAGCTATATACAAAGCAGCAGCAGAAATCCATCATAAAAGCATCAAGTAGAAAATGTATTTTGTAAACGGGAGTGTCCATCCTCAAAAATATATTGGAAACAGTGATCTTCTCTGAACTTTTCACCAGCGTCAGTAGAAGAAACAGCCAAAGGCAACCACCACACAGAAGAGGGTGTCCTGCAGAAATGACAAGGAGAACACCTCCGTGAGCGAAAACGACCTCAGAGGCAAACGAATTCATGACTTTGGGAATCTGGTGCAGTAACAAGTATGATGGAAATTTTCTTCTGCGATTTTTGTAGGTTTTACACATGAAAACATCAGGACACACGGTTTTTAAGCAGCCTTCAATGGGTGATGCATGGCAAAAGCATCAAATCACTTACATTCATGAAAATATCCTGAGCGTAGTTGTCTGTGTCTGAATCCCAGAAGCACCGTGCAGCCATGCTGAAGAAACAAATGAGGAACCGTCCATTGACAAAGAAAAACATCAGTTGGTGATAATCAGCCGCATTTCGAGACTGTTCATTCCCTTGATATGCTGAAAATACTTCCCCAAAATCCCCCCGGGGTGGGGACCAACAGGGATAGAAAGGCTGATCCCAAACAAGAAGAGGACAATTTGGTTGAACATAATGAAGTCATTGGGCTTGCAGAACAAATTTGCTTCTGCAATGGAACTTCTCTTCCCTCTCCTCCCCCTTGCATGCCTACAAAATTTACTCTGGAGGGCTGCGGGATCCCTCAGAATAGATTTGGGGGGCATGCAGGGGGAGGAGAGGGAAAGTTCAGTTGTGTGAGTGGAAGGTGTTCTGCAGGCAACCCAATGCCTCCAGCTCTGTGGTGGTAAAACTCAGAAGAACCATCTGGAGACAAAAAAAGTGAGAACAAGCATGGAAATCCTCTAGGTGAAGTGAAGGAAGGGAGAGTTACCCACACCAAACATGCTATTACTACAAAGGTGTCTAATTTGCTCTGAATGTTGGGGGTGTGCTGTGCAAGTCAGAATACATTAAGTCCCCAGAGGAATTGTGTAAATTTGTCAATTGTAGAATGCTTGGGATAAATATGAACCCTCAGATTTCACAATTTACAAAGGCATACACACACACACACACACACACACAACAACAACAACAACCCACAGTGCAAAATATTAAGAAATGTGAATGATTTGGTGGGAAGGGAGGGAAGCCTAACTTACTTAACTCCTTCGCCTCTCTGTTCTCCGATCACCACTTGCACCACCATTTTATACCGGTGAAAACCTTTCTCTAGAAAGAAAGATGGGGAAGAAAAATGACTGGGGAATATTGAAAGATTTCACACCTGTATATTGTCAGATCATATGTTTGGCCAGATGGAAGAACATCAGCAAGGGTGTGTGTGTGTGTGTGCCCAAGAGAGAGAAAGGGTGGGTGAGTTGGGCAGGAAGATATAGGAAGAAGAAGGGCAATTACTCTTGGCACATGCTCTTACCTTTTAACTTTTCCAGGATTGTCTCTGATAAGGATTTGGTGAGCTGTGGGATCTCTTCAGGGTTGTACTGTACACTGGCCAGCTCCTCTTTTAACACCTCATGTATACAATCTTTCACCGTAGAAGGGCGGAATCTAATAGGAAAGAATGGCGTACAGTTATATCTCCCTCCACCAGTATAACAAATAACTGGAGTCTGGATGTCTGATTTGTGACAACTCCCAAACTTCAGGCGTACATCTTTG